TTGAGGAACAGTATCTTCTCAAACTTTCGTCTTCTTCGTCTATATAATAGAACTCGAGCATGCACATTACATCCGTGATATGCAGATTATAAACATCATCTGGGTACAATAATCCATGTCTTACTAATTCAATCACTTCGTTGTCCATACCACTATCGTTACTTGAGTCATCTGAAAAATCTTCTTCTATTTCCATCAATTCTTGATCACCTTCCTCATGCGCTACTTCTACCTCCATATAATCGTCGGGTGGTATCATTTCTTCAATGTTCATTAACGAGAGTTACATTTTTACAATCACCTGGTTGCATTAAATCTCACCACTGATGAGGTGTGTCCAAATCTTTACAATATATATGCCGAAACTAATGGGTGTGGCCTATTTTTCGCAAATGTTGCAGATATCGTTTGATTTCGCAACGTGATCTCGCTGCTGTACATTGGCGCTTGACCAAAATGCTTAATTGCATTTTTTAACATGTATTCGATGACTGCGAGACATTTAGATTGAAAAAATATTATATTACGCGAATCTAATGTGTCACAGCTGCCGTACATCGGCGCTTGTACAAAAATGCTAAAATGCATTTTTAACATGGTGATCTCATCGATATTTTGATTGTGCATAAAAACTCACGTATTACACAAAAGTATTATGTGACAGCTGCCGTACGTCGGCGCTTGTACAAAATGCTTAATTGCATTTTTAACACGATGATCTCACCGATATTTTAATTGTCTCCGAAAAAAATCTTATGTTACACGAAAGTATTATGTGACAGCTGATCAAATTGTTGAATTGCATTTTTTAACACGTGTTCGACGCAGTGAGACATATTTGTCCTTGAAAAAATATTATATTACACGAATCTATTGTGTCACAGCTGCCGTACATCGGTGCTTCACCAAAATGTTAAATTGCATTTTTTACGCGTGTTCGACGATGTGATTTCATCGTTAGGCATTATGGCTGTTCGAAAAATCAAACTTTGTCACAGCGAATTGGAGGGGAGTTTACATAAAAGTATGAGGTATCGCGATTTTGTCAGTTGCACTTTGATAGGCGTACTTGAAAGAACAGTTTAACAAAGTGGTGCTAAATTGGCTTGTCACCTTTCAAGAATAATGAATTTCTACGTTCCGCTGAAGGATGAGG